CGAAGAAAACATTGTTTAATTTATATTAATATGTATCACTTAAAAATTTTAATGAAGATATTTATCTTAATTATGAAAATATACTAGCATGTTTTTTAATTTTTGGAACCTAACCCTCCTTTTCGTATTAGTTCTTTGTTTCGTATAACACGGATTCGCATAACACGGCAATTTTTTTGGAATGTAACTACCGTGTTATACGGGGTTACATTCCTGTATAATATACCTGTATAATCAAATATATCTTTGTAAAAAAGCGTACATAAAACTAATATAAAATATTCTTTACTTTTTAAATCTTAAAATAAACTCCACTTTGTCAAATAGCTCCTTACGAATGGTTAATGAATAGAACCATTAGAAGAGTCATACGATATTTTGATGTGTACCATCCACCAGCTAAACCGCGTGTGGTTGGTGCTCTGTAAAGCACATCCGCGAATGTGTATACTCTAGCTCAGTGTTTCTCAACCTCTAATGAATCGTCGCCCCCTTCAACGTAGTATCGCCCCCTTCACTACAAAATTCCGATGCCGAGGACCAAGACTAACGCCAAATTCGTACTGCATTGAATAGACTATTGACCAGTGCCGGCCAGAAGCAAGTTTTAGGATGGAGCGAGATCCTATTATAGCGCCCGGGGGTGGAACCCCGCCCACGCGCTTCTCAACAGATAAGGCCATTCACATACTGGCCACACGCTTGCAATTAAAATATCGAAAAGTGAAAAATATTTTTTCCTTTAATTTTCTTTACCACTGAGGCGTCCCCTAGGACTTAGCGCCTGGAGCGGCTGCTCCGTTCGCCCTGTGGTAGGGCCGGCTCTGCTATTGACTAATATAATGTTATTTGTTTAATTATTGTACGATATAACGAATAAAATATCTAAATATTATTATATTCTTCTTGTTCTTTCCAACAAACTGTGTTCATAACATCCGAACATTCTTCGAATGAATAATATAATTTATTACTCACTTCGTTAATTCTTCCATCCTCGTCAACAATTACAAACCCAAACTTTCCATCTTCTTTCCATATTTCTCCTTTAACTTTAAAATAATGCAAAACAATAGGAAAATTATCGGGAATATCAAAAGAAAAATTATTTACCGCAGCAATACAGCTATCCAAAGACTTGTACAGACAAGGAAAAACAGAATAATTTCTGTCACTGTTGTAAGTAATAAAATCGTGCTTNTCGTTTTTTTCACATGTAGTATAGAAATTTGTAATAAGATACATAATGCGGTTATAATAAAACATTAATTTTAATTAATTCAAAGTACGTTAAAATATGAAAATAATCGCATAATATGTATTTATATTTTAGAAAATACAAGGGAAGCGGCACTTCCAGTTTCCATGAATTGCGCGCCACTGCTTTTTAACTAGGACACTTGTATTTGGAGATTTTGACATTTTTATTAAAAATTTTTAAATTATTAATAATAGTATAGCTATTAGTAAAAATCTTTATAAGTTTTAAATACATTTTGCTTAAAGAAAAATTACATTGAAAAATTTTCACTTTACGAAAATTTATTACTGGGTGAATTTTATTGTTATAAAAATTTTAATTAAAAAAAAAGCTCTTTATGTAATATTTTCTCCATAAATTGAAAATTTTATGTGAATTTGGGCTATTTTAGCTCCAAGCTTCGGTCTCTTTTTAGCTCCAAGTATCTGGCAGGGATGCTACTACACGATATATTGACGGTTTTTGGGCTACTCTTTAGGACAGATTTAAAAAGATGGCAAGAAAAACCCGGCAATCTTGATATAGAAAGTGCTAAAGGTAGGTAAAAATTAAAAATTAAGAACAAAAAAATACTTTGTATCACTTAAAATCATTTTTAGTTTTTGTTCCAGCAATTAATAAGAACACAGAAAATTGTGTCACAGTTTCCACTAAACAGTCAGTCATACGTCATCACTTGGTAAAATCGAAAACAATTCGAAATTTCGAATCCCACGAGTGTATCGGCAAAATCGAGAATTGAAAATGGCCAACGTTGAATTCTTCAAATCTCCTTACGGAATGTTCAGAATCTTTGAGTTGGTAAGATGAAATTGCGATTAATATAATACAAGTCATATGTTACGTAATTACTTATTTACGAATTACATTCAAAATCTGATTATACTTTCATTGCTGTTGTTAACACTTGTTAAGGATTAGTTATAATATAAGGCATTTTAAAATATTTTCGAAACCTGTTTATGGTAATTCGAGACATTTACATAAAAAATTGACAGAAAATAATTCAAATTTCGGTTTGTATATTTAGATTTTTTTCTGAAACTTGCAACATTTACGAACAACAGCGAATCAATTCGAATTTTAGAACAAATATTCAAAATTTAAAAAGTGTTTTCTGGTTAATTGAAATAAAACACATTTTTACTCTTCTTATGTGCAATGTTTTTATTTGCTATTGTAATCGTTTCTGTCGTTCTTCAGCAGCTAACAGAAGAATTTTGTTAAATAAATAAATGAGAACCAGTTTCCTTTAATATAAGTTACATTGTAGAACTATGTAAATTATGCACTTTCGATTTCACTTTCGTGCATAATTTACATAGTTCGCTAACATTTTTGAAGCTCTGTTAGTAGCAAGATTCTGTAATACATTATCATTACGCTGTACTGTTTTACATTTCCATCCACAATTACGTTTCAACTCGTCATTCTTATCTTGCTTTAATTTTTGAAATTTCACTCTGAGTGACCTTTAACGTTTTTGCTATTTGTTCTTCTGTTTTACCATGCAAACATTCATCATACACCACACTTCCTTTAAAATGCTGCGTGCTAAAGGTGATAAGAATTTTAAACCTGTATTAAACGTTTCGGTAAATATTCCATAACTTTGAAATGCCTAATGAAATTCCTAAGCAAACTTTAAACATTATATAATAAAAACCCAAAGAAATTAAATAGTAAAAATAAAGGTGAATCATTTATTTCCTTTTTGATATATTTTAAATTCTTTGTTAATGAAGTTTTAGTACTTAAATGAATAAACTTACTTTCGTACTTGCCATATTCGAATATTTTGAAATGTCCTTGTATATGCTCTGTAATGTAAAGTGGATAGATTGTACAATTAATTGATATTTAAGTCATGTTTGCCTTATACAGGAACAAAAATTATTACGTATTAAATTTTAGATTGATTTGCCAAGCAAAAAATAAGTGTAACGCTCATATTTTTTTCAGATATTGTCAATTAGTGGGACCGTTGCTATTTCAAACTCTTTCTACTGCGGTAATGTTTTCAGAGCAGAGTTCTACGAATCCACTTGTATCGCTGCTGTGATCTTTATTGTAATCTTTGTAATACTCTATTTTTCCAAAATGATCGATTATTTTTCCCAATATTTCAACGTGGGAATATTGGTAAGTAAAATTTTTGATGATTATTACTTTATCAGATCAAATTAAAAATTTACAAAGAATATCGTATTTTTTAATTACTATAGATGTTTATCATCGATCTCCTTTTTACTATCTTGTTTGCAATTTCTGGAATTTACATGATATTCAGCATTGCCAAGTGTACTGGACTTAGAATAGCAAGAATTTTTACTGCTGTAAGTTAGCTTTAAATTAATCAATAATTATAATTATGTTAATAATTAAGATTTTTACGGTTGCAGATTCTAGCAATGCTGACTTGCGCATGTTTTTTTACTTCTACATCTTTCGACTTTCGTTGGTTTCAAGGAAGTCAACCTTTCTAAAGCTTGTTCTTTGTATTCCTATTCAGCAAAGATACGCTTATGTAAAAATTGTTGTTTTTTCGTTATTTTAGTGTACAATCAGTATCTTATTAATTCACAAAATCTTTAATTCAATTAATTTTAATTGTTTATGTATGGATTATTTAATAATTTTAAAGAAATCTTCTAAATAAAATGTAACCTTGAATATTCAATTTCGCATTTATATGTATTATCCAATATTTATATTTCTATGAATAAAATATTTTGTTAAATGTTTATAGTTTTTCTGAATTTGACTCATTTGATTTGCCTCAAACTTTCTTCGCTGATACTGCTCAAACATGTTCTAATGTTCAAGCAAATTAAATGTAGTGCAACGGCTTCTACTGTACTATTTTAGATGGGATTTTTTTATAGTAACAACTAATGATTGAGAATCTTAGTGAAGTATCGAGGAAGGGTTAATAAAATTAAATAAAAATTAGTCTATTAATCGTAAATGATTTAATTATTACGAAATCGATTACTGGAAACATCAATTTATTAGGCAAATTTGAAAAGTTTTTCGTTACTGATTTACATTTCGGAGATGCGTCGCTGAGCTGAAGAAATCCATTACTACAAGATTGACAACCTTAGGTATAAAAGAGCACAACAACATCAGTAATTTCTAAATTATTTAATGCGATAGTTTCCAAACTTTTCAATTTAAAGGCCAAATTGCGCACTAGTCTCGTTAGATGAGCCACAGATATTTTGTATATTCCATACACATGAAAAGAAGGCACATTCCTATCAATTATAAGTGATACGTGAAATATGTTAACGTTCTGGATTGGAGTGTTATTGATACATTGCGTATCACTAGTTTAATATATCAAACCTATAAATACAAAATTTATAAATTAACCTTAAACTAGTTAAAGCCTTCTTTTAGGTTTTTACGATTTCATTATCAATCGACATTAACAACATTAAAAATCTAAACTAATCCAGGTTTTATCGAACAAAATAACAATGTCCATTAAAATTTTTAACGATCGATTACATATTCGCCATCCATCGTTAATATCGGACGCCCTAAAATAAACCAAATGCAGTTTCTTAAAAAAAAATATGTTTGAATAGGATATTACGCAAACGATTGATTTCAGTTTTGTATTGTTGCGACATGATGGAAACTGCATCTGTGGTCTTCAATATTGTAAATAAACAGATCTGTAATGTCTATATCTTAAAAGCGTCTGACTTCATTTCTATTTCTAAATATTTCCTGTGTTAATATTTTAATCTAGATTTTCTAATTATCCCTTATTTAATATCTCTCCCTTTATAAGACACTCCATTTAAGTAAAAATTCGTAAAAGTTTGAAAAAAATATATTCTAATATCTATATAACGCATTGAACGCATGTCCGTTTATCCGCGTAACGATATGCCAAAAACGGGCACTAGAGGCGCCCTAGCGATGATTTTAAATTAACAATAAATTATTTTTATTTGTAATAGGTATTTATTATTGATATGAATTTATTATTTATTCCACGGAATGGTATAAATAATTATTATATGCCTTGATTAACCTTGCGCCGCACATTTACAACATCCCGGGACTAACAAGTTAGTGAACGTCACGCATTGACTTACGGGAAATTTGTTGAAAAAATGGCGGATACATTTAAAATCGAGGTTTACAACCGAAGGTAAATAAACAAATTAAACTATTTTAGTGTTTTATAGAATGTTTAATAGATAGAAATATAGATCCGTATGACGCGATTGGGACTTTAACAGAGCTGTAGAACATATTGATAGGAAGAAAAGAATAAAAGGAACGCCCACTAAGGGGCGTCCCGGGCTACTAGTATTTTAGAGGATATTCTTTTTGAAACACTACTTTATCATATAAGGAAACTTTATTTATACATTAACCTTATTTACATAATAAAATTCAATGAAAACATCTGAATTTAAAATTACTTTTAATTTATTATAACACTATCTTCGATTAATTTAAAATTCAATGAAAACATCTGAATTTAAAATTACTTTTAATTTATTGTAACACTATCTTCGATTAATTTGAAATTTGGCACCACACGTGCCAAATGTACGAAGTCCATTACAGGTTTACATACAATATCTCCATCGGCACAGAACAATAAAAACTGTAAATTCCTTACCATCAGGCCAAGTTCTAGAGACCTTCAGTACTCTTCAATATCTGGCATTAGAAGCCAAGTGGATATTCTTGTCAGCCAGAGAAGAGAACGTACTGTACGGTACAGTACGTTCTCTGCTCTAGCGCGGCATAGTTTTATAATATTGATATAAAATTCCTGTTACACGGCCTATGGCTAAGATCGTTTCTTGGCCTGACAACGTTAGGTCGAGTGACTGCCTTTTTGGCTAAGATCAAATATGTCGTATCTGGTTCCCACCTTTTTTATGTGGGGACATGCCAGAGAACGCTGTTTGATCGAGGCCAATGGGTTGGTGTCTAAAGCCTTTATGGCTTATTTTTGTAACTGTGGGCACCACTTATAAGGCCTTGTTCCTGCTTGTCGTTACTGCGGCGGCTACAGTAGATAGAGGCAACTGGCGGTGGTGTTTGGCGGGATCTTCACTGATCCCTCAAACTTTAAGAAAAAATATTGTTATTTATTTTAAAATAATAAAATTCCTTCTAATTGTCTTACTAACTCTAATTAATTTCTATTTTTACCATATTTTATTATAACATAAATTGTTTAATACTTCACAGTTCTTTATAAAGATGCGAAACATACTTTTTTACAAAAGAAAACAGCCGTTCAGAAAATGTTTAGCCGGCGGAAGAAGGGGAGGAAAGAAGGAAGGAAAGAAGGGGTGAGGAGTTAAAAAGAAGAGAAAGGAAAAATTCCTCTGAGCGGCAAACGTAAAATTATTACTCATTCTACATTTAATGTTTTCGTTTAGTTTTTTGGCTTCAAACCCGTGAGTCTAAAAAAAGCAGGGCTGTGGAGTCGCGTAAAAATTTACCGACTCCGACTCCGACCAGGAACGGACTTGTTACCGAAAGAGACCCGGAAATTCTGACGTCATCACGTGACCTCAGAATAAAAGATTCAATAAATAGAGTTATAATGAAGATAGAACGTCTTTTAACTTTGGAATATACAGTCGACCCCCCTATAACACGGGTTCCTATAGTTCGGATTCCTATATCATGGCGAAAAAATTGCGAAATTCGTACAAACAGGCTAAAAAAAACTCGTATAATTCGGTAAAACGTCATCGCCGACTCGTGTCGCGACAAGATTGGTCGAATCTAGACCAATAGCGGATACTGTACAAACCGTTGAGTTTAAACGAGCAGCGGATCTACTAAAATCCATTTATTATTTAACGTCCATAAAAATTATATTTATATTAATGATGTCTCCAAAGTTCAGCAAATTTTTCGCAAAAAACATAATTTACCAGGAAGCGCGCGAGCGCTGTTCAATGACAAGCTCCACGACGAAAACAAGCTTAAGCAATGGCGTTGTCGAACGGTACACACTCGGTAAGTAATCCTACAATTTTTTGTTTATAGCATAGTTTATATGGATTATTCCCAAAAAATTATACGTATTTTGGAAATGTTGAGTCGAATTAGTCTAGAATCGATTAATTTTATGGAAGAAGACCTTTCAATCAGCCTTAGTCCGTAAACTTCACACGTGTCGGGCTGTGATTGGAAGGACTCGTAAGAAATCGGATTCCTAAAGAATGGAACGTATCTATGATCTTATAGGAGGGTCGACTGTATTAATTTATCCCGTGTTAAAATTTTTCTCCGTTGCGTGTCGCTTCGCGTTGAATTTTCCTCGATGTTAAGTCTAACGTAAACTTTTTAAAATAATAATCGTGGCTATTGTAT